CTTTGCTCCAGTCCTATTTGCTCCCAATTAATTCAGTTTGGAGTAGAATTCTGCACTGGCTCTGACTACTTTTTATTAGGGAGATCTTAATACAAGTGGAATCCAACAGGAATACAAAATGGGCATTATGGTTCATTTTGCCTTGTCAAGTGACTGAATTAAAAAAAATAGGAAGGTTTTTTTTTTTTTTAAATTTAACCATCTACATCTAGATCATTACTAATTTAACATTTGATTGATATAAAAGTGAGATATTTTACATTTTCCTACTATCCTTGAAGTTTGTTGTGTATTATGTTTACTGAACATCTGGATACAGATTGGCTTCATTTCAAATGCTCAGCAGGTTTCAGTGTCTCGTGGCTGCTGTGCATGGCTACACATGTAACATGTGGGCTATGCATGCAGGGTTCAGGATTCTGTCTCCTCTATCCTGCCCAGAGAGTTGGCAACTCTTTGAGGTCTCAACTAAAATTGAATAGCTGAAAGCAGGCCAAGGACTGGTGTCTTTTGTGATTCGGTCTGTTTGAACAACTCAAAGTTCATTAAGTCTGAGTACCTTCTGATTTCTCAATTGAAAATATGAGTGACCGAGGCTGGGGGAGAGGGCTCAGTGGGCAGAGTGCAGGCAGAGCAGTTCTGAGTACCTGCTTTTTCATCCTTAACACCACATAAAGGCTGCAAGTCATGGCTTGCCTCTATAACCCCAGAACTTTGGGGACAGAGGCAGACAGATGCTGAGCTCATTAGCCTGCAAGTTCAGTATGAGTCTGTCTCAAAAAATAGGATGGGAATTGATGACTCCTGTCCTCCCTGCTGGGCTAGTATACCTGCAGACGCACATACAACACGACAGAGGAGTGACCAGATTCCAAACAAACTGAAGTATGTGCTTATAAACAGACTTTACTTGTTTTTACTTGTTTGGAATCTGATTACTCTCCTGTGTGTGTGTGTGTGTGTGTGTGTGTGTGTGTGTGTTCTAGCATTGTGACTACTTGCTGATGTTTCACTTGAAGGGTAGGAAGCATGCTTCAATAGTCTTATGTAACTCTCTGCCCTGGGGACTCCCATGCCAGTCAGCTGGGACGTTAAAGATAGCTCTATGTGCTAAATAAGAAGATGCGAAAATAAACCCATGGAAGAGAATCAAGCCAGAAGACTCTGTAAGTAGTTACTATGGCTCTGCCAAAAGCAGAGACCTGGAAATCCAGGCAACTGTAGCAGTCCTATTTGGGGTTACTTTCTTGTTATACAAGGGTTTGATTATGAAGGTAGATTGGGAACAGTCAAAAAAATTCCAGACTCAGAATAAAAGCTAAAGACACCTAAAATGCAAGTAATGACCATTTGCTGCATGGCTCACAATTGGGAATGCTCCAAAAGCTTGGGGATTTTCTTGGAGCTCTGAATTCACTTTCCATTGTCTCCATAGAAATAAATCTACAAATAGTGATCAGGCATCTGCACCTAAAATGCCATATGTCTTGGATGAGATTGTTTCAATGCATCTACAATGAATGTATAATGAACTAAGTTCTTGCTTCATAAGTTATTTTTTAGTATAAATATGCTATTATCTTCCTGAAATTGTTCATTTTATTTACAAAGGAATACAATTTCTACATTGATGCAATACACTTTATATGCACTAACTCTATTAATATGTTCATAATTGTGTTATATGATCCATATATGAATGATATGCTAATAAATAAAACAGCATAAATTGTCAACTTATTATCTCAGGATCTCAGGAGGCAGATGCTGTCCTGTATTTCAGGACAAGCCTAAGATGTATCACATTGGTAAGAAAGCCAATCCATTAATAAAGAATGAGGAAACTGAATTCTCAAGAAAGTCACTTATCTGTGTGATACGGGAAAAAGACAAAGTGCTTTTTAGTCATCTGTTCCCCCACCCCTCACTGAGACAGGGTTTCTCTGTATGGCACTGGCTGTCCTGAATTCTGTTTTGTAGACCAGGTTAAAACTCAGTGTTCTGCCTGTGCTGGGAATAAAAGTGTGTGCCATCACCACCCAGATCTGTTTAGTCTTTTATGTCTAACTTTACTTCCAAATGCTGGTCTTGGCTTTTCTTTAAGGAAATACTTTTGGCTATGTACTTAATGTTTAGCTATATTTAGGATTCCTTTGACTTATAAATAGGTGAGGTTTTCCTGAAGGATAGAAAACATCACATTGAGAAGGCAATTAGAATTAAATAGTGAAGCATATTGGAAATCAAACTGTACAAAATTGCTCAGGACTCCTTGGAGAGAGGGTGAGATTGAGCTTGGAGGAATGACTCTCTGCAACCTCCAGGTCTGGGAAGTAAGGGAGGGGGAGGCAATCAACCTTCACTTCCAGTTTTTATGACAGACTTGGTGAGTAGCTGCAAGCTGGATCCTGAAGGTACTGCCATTTTTTGGGATTTTGCTTCTAACCACTAGGAATGGAGGTGGGTGTAACAAAGCCAAACACTAACTGGTCTCAAAGTCAAGGTCAATAAATATGGTTTGAGTGTGCCAGTGTTTAGTTTTACAAAACAGTAAGTAAAGCCAGGGAACTACTATAGGGTTGGGACAGAAGTTTGAGAAGGGAAGAGAGAACATCTTACTCTACTTGATTCTCCCAGTTTTAGACACTTCATGGTCCTGGTGTTCTTCCATCTGTAAACACTTTATTGTTTGACTGTATGATTGTGTGTGTGTGTGTGTGTGTGTGTGTGTGTGTGTGTGTGTGTGTGTGTGTGCTTGAGCACATGTGTTAGTGAGCACTCACCATAGCACTTATATAGAGGTCAGAGAACAACTCTGGGGAGTGAGTTCTCTCCTGACTTTGAAGAAGGGTCTCTCTTGGTTTTCCACTGTGTAAGAGTGTTTTCAGGTGATTTCCCTGTCTGTGCTGCCCATCTTGCCATGGGAGTGCCAGGAATACAGATGTGTATGCATTACCATAGATGGCTCTAAAAAATGTGAATTCCAAATATTGAACTCAGGTGGTCAAGCTTATGTGATAAGTGCTCTTCCCCACAGAGCCATCCCCTTGCCTGTCTAAACCTTCAAAAAGTTTCACCCTCTCCCCACTGATGTAATTGTTTCCTATTTCTCTCTAAATTCATTCTCCCAAGTATGCTTGGTCTTGCCACCAGTGAATAATCAACCCTGACCTTACTTAAACAGCTTTGAGAGAATTTGAGCCTATGCTCTGGGTCCAGGGTTGTCTAGTTGTCTGCAATATCCTTCTTGGTGTTCCTTGTAATCTCAAATTTAGTGTTTCTGAGCTAAGAATCCCATCCTCTGTGGATGTCCCCTCTGTGAGCATTGCTCTTTGAAATGCTGATATCACTCCATTTGGCTGGGGCCCTATTTCCCACCATCACCCACCATGAACCCAGGTGGTTAGCCTTCCTTTTAGATGCGCCTCATTTCCTATTCCCAGTGCTCTTCCTTCCACTCTTGTTCCCTTTCACCTCAATCCCGGATTCTCTTAGTAACCTACAGCTGGTTTCCCACCCCCAGGGACTCCCTTTCCATATACGACACTTTCTGAAGTCCCGAGAGAACAGTGTGTCTGGGAAGGGGTGCAAACTGCCTCCAGCCTTAGCCCAGGTTGCCAGAAACAGAAATATAGGCAAGATGTTGCATCTATTACAAGAAAAACTGTGTTGTGCAAATGAGAGAAGTGAGCAGGGAGATGAGGGCTTTTCTCTAGAAACCAGAAGGTCAGGGCTAAGGCTACATAACAGAACATGATGGTCACTTCTCTCTCCCTCCTTTTTTTCTCCCACCAGGGCCCTTCTTACTCTTGAACTTTCTTAACCTTACCACGAATCGCCCCCCCCCCCAGGAATAGGGAGAAGTCTAGCAGCTTCCCAGTTTATCTCTTAGAAATGCATGCATCCCTTGTGAGACTAGGTTTTTTTTTTTTTTTTTTGGTTTTGTTTTGTTTTTGAGACTTGGTTTCACTCTGTAGCCTGGCTGGCCTGGAAGTTGCTTTATAGACAAGGTTAGCCTTAAACTCAAAGAGATCCACTGGCTTCTGGCTATTGAGTGCTGGGATTAAGGGTGGGAACCACACTACACATGGTTAATTTAAATTTTAAAAATTTATGCATAGACAGGCTCTCCCTATGTAGCCCAGGTTGGCCTCCAACTCTGTATGTAGCCCAAGATAGCACCAAGCTTTGAATCCTCCGGCCTCTGCTTCCCAAGAACTGGAATTACAGGTGCGGCTCATGATAGCCAGCCCTAGTCCATTATGAATTTCTTGTTTCATTCTGTTGTGGTTGGAAAAGCTACTTAACATAGTTTCACTCCTTTTTAATTTGTTAAGACTTATTCCAGCGCCTAACATCTGACCTATCGTGAAGACTGTTTTGCACGTCCACTGTTGGATGGAATCTTCTCCGTGCTAAGTCCACTCAACTCTATCATCTCTACTTTGGTTTCTTGTCCATTGTTGAATAAAGGATGTCTGAATTCCCTGATTATATTGTCCATTTTGACCTTAACTGAAAATATCTGTGTTTCAATAGTCATTACAAGTATCTATAGTTATTAGAGCCTTTTGATAAACTATCTCCTTTATCATATAAAGTCATTCTTTCATTTTATAGTTCTTGACTTGGCATCTCCTTTAAATTTGATATAAATGTAGCTGTCCCTAGTCTCTTTGCTTTCCATGCACATGGATACCCATTTGCATTCCTTTACTATCAGACTATACAAAGCTAATGTGGGACCCTTGTAAACAACACAAAGTTGGATCTTTGGTTTTTATTCATTCAGCCACTTTATGTCTTCTGACTTAATCCATATACTTAGCAAGTAACCATCTATAGGTAAGGAGTTTCTATTGTAATTCTGTGTATATGTGGTATATGCATGTGTTTCCCTGTATGTGCATAGATGGGCTTGTCCATATGTGTGTGTGTGTGTAGGTCACAAGTTATGTTAATGTCTTCTATCACTCTCTAATATTTTTTTTTTGAAACAGGGTCTCTTGCTGAACCTGGAACTCCCTAGTTTGCTAGATTGGCTGACAAGAAATTCCCTGGGATACACCTGGCCCTGCCTCCCAGAAGTGGTGGGTGCATTACACCTGATATTTACATGGGTGATGGGGCTCCAAACTTAGCATGCTTGTGCAGTAAGAATTTACCAACAGAGACATTTCCCTAGCCTGCAGTTTACTGTTTTAGAAGTTTTTTGTTCACTCTTCCTTGGAGGCTGACTTCCTTTGTGATTTGGTTTTTTGGTTGTTGTTGAGGGAGTATGTTTTGATTCCTAACTTTTGTATCTCTTGTTTGCTCTACAGGGTTTGCTTTGTAGTTACCACCTGAGGCTTACATAAAACATCTGATAATTTTAGCCATCTATTTTAAGTTGAAAACAATAACTTTGTGTTACTGATGCTACAATTTACATCATTCCACAAATACATGTAGCTATAGCTAATATTAATACATTTTTCATTACATCTTCAGACAATAGTAAAGTGGCTAGGACATCACCATTATGGTATTAGATGATGGGCTCACAATTTTTCTTTTTAGTTTTGTGATGGGCAAAATTGAGTCCATTCAGTTAAAACCATATTTCAAATTTCATATTTTGATAATTTTCCAGTCAGGGATATGCAACATTTATTTTGTGATGATGCTGGAAAGTGGACGTGAGCCCTAGTTCCCTGTCAGGTGCAAGGTTACAGAACAAATAACTGACTTTATATCCTACTGTGTTGCCGGGATACAATGCATGGAAAGTTTGGTGAATTAAATCCATTCTTTTACTTTCAATATTTTTGACATTTGATGAACTTTTGGGGGATGTGATCCCACTGCAAGTTAAAGAGTACTTGCATTATGAACTTGAAGAACTACTTTTTAACAGAAATGAGTTTAACATCCTTAAATTTTATTTATTATTAATTTTTGGTCTCTCTCTCTCTCTCTCTCTGTGTGTGTGTATGGGTATTTTTGCCTACATGTGTGTGTCTATGCACTATGCAAATACAGTGCCCTAAAAAGCCAGAAGAGGGCACCAGCTCCACTGGGATTAAAATAACAGTTGTGAGCCTCCATGTGGGTGCTGGGGATCAAACTTGGGTCCTCTAGAAGAGCGGTTAGTGCTCCAATCCTCTGAGCCAGTGCTCCAATCCCTAGAGATAAGTTTTATACTTTCATGTAGCTAGTTGTTAACTTTTTGAAGACCTCTCTTTAGTTCCTAAGGGGTGTCTAATGGCCTCAAACTCAGAGATCTGCCTCCCAAGTGCTGGCATTAAAGGCGAACCCTCACACTTTTTGTGTGTCGGGGAGGTTCCTCCTCTCCTATCTCTCTTATTTCTGAACGATGATCTTGCCAGGTTTTTTTTTTTTTTTGCATTATGTTTTTTCCTGGCCTGCAAGCTTTCTTCTGAGAAACCTGATGATTGTCTTCTGAAAGTTTTCTTTCTATGTGATGAGTTGCTTTTCTCCACACTGCTTTACCATATTCACTTTGTCTTTGAATTCTGAGAAATTATTACATTGATGTTCATTGGACTTCAGGGATCCCAATGTTGATTTTACTGTCTAGATCTTACAAGGTTTCTGTCAACTCAATTACGCACTATGGGATTCACAGACTGCATAGAGAAAGCAAGCACGGCAGACATTTACTGAAGGAAATAACAATATTTTCCTGGCATGGCATCAGATTTCCTTCAGAATGAGGCAATGCTTTTTATGGCCATACCTTGGAAGCTGAACTGTCACTTTTCATGTATCTAGTTGGCCAGAGATAGTCTGTCTGGATTCAGTGTGAGCCAGGGATACACAAGAGTTTACAAGGTTAGCTGAGGGACTTTTACAGGCTGCTACACACACGCACCATACATATTTCACAAAGTTGTTATTACAGATTCTTATTTTTCTTCTTTATGCAGTATGTTACTTTTTTTTCTTGTATGTTTTGTTTTTGTTTTGAGACAGGGGGTTCTCCGTGTAGCCTTGGCTGTCCTGGAACCCACAGAGATCTGCCTGCTTCTGCTTCTCAAGTGCTGGGACTAAAGGTGTGCTCCACCACCACTGGGCTTCAATGTGTTAAATTTTTATGGTAAGGATTTATGGTTTTTATAACCACAAACATGTAAGTTAGTTAGTGTTCCAGAGCATAGGAACATAAGTCCACAAAAGTTAGTTGTTGTTGGAGAGCATAGGAAGTCACCCTCTGACACTCTGATATGAAGGTGAATGATCTGTACTTTCCTCTACTTGTGACAAATCTGTAACCAAGGAAAGTGGAACTGGATAGGAAGAGGAAAGAGTGAACCAAGGCAGAGCACCCAGGAAAGGAACAGAAGTACCCAAGGGCCAAAGACATCAGTGTAAGTTGAGATTATCATAAATATGATGAGCACACTGCAAAAGCTTCAATCTTCCAGCTATAAACAAGTCTCTCACTCACTAACTCACTTATTCACTCACTCACTCACTCATGCACTCACTCACTCATGCACTCACTCACTCACTCATGCACTCACTCACTCACTCACTCATTCACTCACACACTCATGCACTCACTCACTCACACTCACTCATTCACTCACTCACTCACTCAACACTTACTCTATCACTCGTATACCCCTGCTTCTACTGCTTTCTAAAATCCTATTTAAATGAGACCAAAGTGTTTTGCATAAAAGATCAATCACCTTTCTTCTACTACATGAGAGAGTGAGGTATATTGCCTCAAGAGGTTAATATAGGATATTTTGACTGTCAGACTCTCATCTCCGAATGAGGTCCAACTGAAGACAGTCATATTTCAAACTGGAGAATGTACCACAGTTTGAGGCCCAGCTCTTTTCTCCCTCTCAGTACTCAGCATGCTGTGAACAGGCAGAAGTAATTGTTAATAGATTGGAGTTTATCATATACCTTGGCCAGAGAAAGGGAATTGTCTGATTTCACACCTGAAAACCATGTGGAAGGGAGTCATAGGTTAGAGGCTCACCCACCTGAACCAGTGTTTGCCTCTGGGGTGCTCACAAGTAATCAAAGTGAGAGGGTGCTGATGGTGGGGGGGCAGTTCAGGGTGCTGATGGTGGGGGGGGGCAGTTCCAGTTGGGTCACGTGGGGGCAAAAGTAGCCTGGGCAGGTTGAGCATGTAGTTGAAAATGGTGATGGAAGAGAATGGGAAGAATGAGCAGACAGTGTCATAGTGCCAACTAGAACTTCACAGCCTCTTCCATAGATGACACCACGGTGTATAAAACCAGGGAACATTCATATTTCCATAAAAATAAGAAATATAAACATTTTACATTTAGGAAGTAAGCCAGAATTGTTCTCTTTTTTAATTTTGTGAGGTTATAATTTTATTACAGGGTATAATAGCACAAACCTTTAATCCCAGCACTTGTGAGGCAGAGGCAGGTAGGCCTGTGAATTCTAGGCCAGTCTGGGCTGTAGAACTAGTTTCAGGACAGCCATGGCTACACAGGGAAAATTGCCTTGAAAAACACCAAAGTAAATAAATAAAATAAAATTTTATCATTCCCCTCTTTCCTTTCCTACCCCTAAACCCTCCCATAAATCCACTCCCCCTTCAAACTCATGGCCTTTTTCTTTAATTGTGGTTATATATATATACATATATATGTATATATATATATATATGTGTGTGTGTGTGTGTGACGTATATGCATATATATAGACTCACACACATCATCCATGTTAGCATGTTTGTTCAGGACTAAAGACTCAGACTTAAGACTCATTCAACAAGAGAGAAATCAAGCCTGGTACTGGAAACCTTACCATCTACCCAGTGAAGCCATCAGTCTTTGGGGGGAGAGTCTATAGCAACCACTTCACTAAACCAATATAACCCCTAACTACATTCTAAATGCTCATTCTTATATCCCCAGATAAGTGTCACCTCATCAAGGAAACTTCCCTTTGCAGCATCCAGAGACCATTACAGAAAACCACAATGAATCAAATATCAGAGTTGTGGCATCCAGTGCCAATGGATGCATCTACAGTTCAACTCCTGCGTCTAAAGTCCGGGGATCACTGCAGAGAAGGGGGAGAAAGGTGGCAAGAGCCTGAGGAAAGGGAGTCTTCTGTGAGATTATGCATCTAGCAATGTCAAAAGGACAGTTGTCCAAAACACCTTTTCTGTGTTTTATCTTTTCCTTTTGAAAATAAATCTTTGAGACATATTTTGTTGATTTACTATTAAGGTTACTCCTAAGAGCAATGTAGTAGAATTGCTCATAGTGGCTGAGAAGGACAAAGGATAAGGTAGCTAAGATGTTGGACTTTGGGTTCCTCATCCTGCTCAATTTTCTATTTTAGTAATAGAGTGGTTAGAACAGTATCATGAAGTCCTTGAAGATTGGCATTGGGGAAGAACATTTGGGAAGATGCTGTCTTCAAGTAATGAACTGCCATCACGTTTTTAGTTTCCTTATTCCACAATTCCCTGCACTTCGACCCCAACATGTGTAAAATAAATGGAGGCTGAGAAAGTACTGACAAACACAGGTAGCCCAGAGGAGCCACATGGACTCCTTTTGGATTCAGAATAAAGGATTAACTTCTGGAAAGAATTTTCCATCTGTTTCTCTGATAGGACTGATTAGAAGCAACTATCTAGTTTTTCACACTCTGAATTAACAGACCAACTGTACCATCTGGCCTGATTAAATTTAGTGCAGATTTCTTCAAGGAATTCTGGCTCCATTATGCATGCAAAGCCATCGCCTACCAAAATCCTAGGGAGAACAGGAGTTAACAGCTGCTAGAGATTGTCCACTCTGCCTATGAGAGACTGCCCAGTAGAGTAGAAGTATTGTGAAATTTCCCGTATACAGGCTGGACACCTGTTAGCCAGCTCACTGAAACCCTGCACCTGTTTGGTAGTGTCTCTCGAGTTTCATTCTTTGTGTCCCACTGACAGTACAGATACAGTCTTTGTCTCCCTGGTACTTCTCCCATCCCTCGATTTCTCAACTGCCTCAATAAATGCCCTTCTCATTTTTGGCATAAAGAAACTAATTACTTTTAATTAGTTTCAAGGCTTTGGGAGAAGCAGTTTAAAGGGTTTGAGGTGATGAGAGGTATCTCTCATCTCCTGTCCTCTGTTGTATACACAGACAATCTTAGATCTCCTGGAAACTGAGCTGAGCTCAGGGCTTTCTATCTTGTTGTTTGTTATTTAGCAACAGTGTATACATTCTGATGGTGACTTCAGACAATCCACATTGTGGTAATTAAAATATTATATAACTTTAGCATCACTTTTTTTTTTGCTTTCTTTTGAATTCTTCAAGTTCAAAGTATTCCGTGCCCCCCCCCATTCTGTTTCATCAGGCAGTTACACACTTGGACTCCTTTGTTTTATAATTGGAACATACACTTGGCTTAACAAAGTCTAATAAAAACATGTTTGATCTAAAGTAGGTATGTGACACACACCTGTTATCTCAGCATTTGAGAGGCTGGGCACTAAGATAGAGTTTGAAGTTAGCCTCAGCTACATAGTAAATTTGTTCAAAGCCAGACTGAGGGGTTCACTGAGAGCTTGTCTCAAAAACTAAAATCAAATCAGCAAGAACAAAACCCACCACCAGCCTTCTTCTGAATAATTAAGACCTTGGAGACCTTTAATTTTGAACTCATTCTCCTTTAGTGCTATTACTAACTGTAAGGGGTCCCTGGAGTTGGCACAGGACACACCCAGACACCCAATTCTCAGCACAAAGGAGATTTATTACCCTGGAGGGACAAGTGGGAGTGGAGTGGGGTGGCTGCCTCTGGATTGGACAATGATAGCAGAATGTGTTTCTACAGCAGTTCGTTTTCTAAGGAGAAAAGGGGGGAGTCTGGGTTAGGATGAGTTGGTAATTGAACATGTTAGCCAGTGTAGCAAAATAATGAGTTTTAATTGCTGGACCTTGGAATTTTAGCCAGGCATAAGGAAGTAAGTGGCCAAATAGACCTTGGGGGCTAGCTTTAGGAATGTAATCTAATAGTTTAGCAAGTGAGAAGGAAGTGGGGAGCAGAAGACAAGGACAAGACTGGCCAGTGCCATGTTTGCAATGCTTAAGCTTGTTAGAGAGCCCTTCAATTACTGTTGAGCATTTAAATTCTACAATCAAATCAAAACAAAACAAAACAAAAAACAAAAAACCTGCCAAGATATAATAGACATAAAATAAGTCGTGCACATTTAAACTCCAACAAGACTTCTTGACATAGCATGCATGCACAAAAACTATCACCATGACAATTAAGGTAATAATCATCAAACTTTAAGGCAAACCAACCCAGTTCACACTCAGATATGGCCAACTGTATAGTATGAAGATCTGCTAGTTTCCTGTCGCCTTAAGAGTTCTAAAAGCCCATGGCTGCTAAGTGAGTAGAAAAGAGGAGGTAGGAGTTCCTACCATCCCCTCCAAGGACACACCTCCAGTACCTGAAGGGTCTCCTGGTAAGCCCCGCCCCTTACAGGTCCATCAGCTCCCATGAGTACTGGGAGGAGCTGAGCCTTTTAACAGGCAGGCATCAGGACTTTGCTTATATCAGTACAGTTTGTACTTCCCTTAAATTTTAGTTTTAAGACTGATGAGTAGCAGTTACACAAGCCTGATAACCAGTGTTCAATCCCTGGAAACTCTACACATACCTGCATCTATCTCCCTCTGCCACTAATAATAATATTAAATATTAATTATGGAAGATTTACCATTTGTTATAAATATACTCGATGCTAAAATTAATCATATGAGAAAAGGAAAAAGAGAATCCTGTTTGGCTTCCTAAGAGTGGCTTTTATGTTTGTTTTTATTTTTTCTCATAGCTGTATGATATATAGTTCATTGAATATTCATTCTGATATTTTGACCAACTGCCTCTTGTTTTGGATTTTTTTTTTTTTAAACTGGGTCTGACTCTGTACCTCAGGCTGGTCTGAAACTCATTATTGTAACCAAGGCTGACCCTCAACTCACAAATTCTGCCACAGTCTCCTAAGTATTCATATTACAGGCATCTTGTAAAGATCCTCCAATTCTCTAATCTTTAGACTGTTTCCTTTTTTACTATGACATATGCTATACTGAGTTTATCTAACATGTGTCTCTGTGCACTTGTCATCTATTTTCATAGGCTACACTTCTGAGCTACAATGTATTATTTCCTTTCTAAAATCTATGCATGCAAGAAACAAGTGCAGTGGGTGTTTCCATTTCCTTATTAAAAATGAAGATTTTTTTTTAATCTTCAAAGGTTCAGTTTATACATGACTGAATGGGGAATGAGAATCCCATTTCCTATTCTGTGGTGTGCAGTACCCCAGCATACCACACCACCTTACCATGTTAGAAAAAGACTAACAAAGAAGAACAAAGTATTTATGGGAGAATTGTCAGGAAGATTACTAGGAATTTTAAACAAATAGCTGCCCATGGAACTGGGGCACAGAGGCCCTATTTCAAGCAGTTATATTCTCACCTGGCCTTTCTGTTGAGGACACTAAGGGGAGAGCTGAGGGTTTATTTATAGTCAGTCATTTCTGAGTATTTGGGTGTCATAAAGTCATTGTGTGTCACAGGCAACAGGGAATTTCCTGCCCCCATTTTGTTCTAAAGGGAAGGACACAGCTCATCTGGGCCAGTAAGTTGGATCCACAATTGGACTTATGCTTATTTTATTTAATAAATCTGTTCTTGAATATTATGCTTGAATTTTGATTGGTGAGGTGTCTTTTTTCACAAACCAGGGGCTTATTGATTGTTCATAATCTTCAAATGACAGCCTTTCTAAAACCAAAGAATGTTTGACAATTGTGAACCAAGTTTCTTTGTTATAAGAAATACAACACCCCCACCACCACCTTAAAAACCGGAACATGATGTGTAGCTGTTTGTGACTTAGAATGTGGAGGCTTGTGCTGAATACACTATTGAAATAGTCTATGCACTATTATAGTGAATTAATAGTGAATACACTATTAAAAATACTCTCATTATAAGGTCTTGCTCCAGTCTACCAAACTAAAGTATATAATGAAGACTTAGACTGTAGAAGAGTTCTTTTGGGTTTGGATATTTGTTATTTTTTTTTTATTATTAACCATCACACCTGGAGCATTGTAGCTGTGGATATTGGTGTCCTTGGCCTTATGTTGATATTATATTCCTCAGATGTCTTGTGAAGCGCTGGCTCTTCAGTTACAAGGCTATAGTCCAGCAGGCTACACAGAGTGATGTGTGGGAGGGACTAACCACCTCACTAGCCCCAGTGCATGCTGGGAATATTCTTCAGGACAACCTTGGTATTTTGTTCCTTTATAGTCTTCCAGGTTACCAATCAGCAATTGTTCCCATGATTGAAATTGTCTTAGAGTTCATGGGAATCTTGGTATTGTACAGATAACACATACTAAAATAGCAAGGGTTGGCAGGCATGTGCGCACACCTGGAATCCTATCATTTGAGAGGGCAATGCTGGATGATTATGAATTTGCAGCAAGTCCTCTCTATATAAGACCATGTCTCTTAAAACAAACTAATACACAAGATAAAAACACTAAGAAAATATTAGAAATAGATAGACTCAAGATTTTAACTTTGACAATATTTAGTTGAGTTTAATATCTTTGAAGAAACCTACTATTGTCCATAAAAATTACACAAGCACTTTCCACTTCAGTTATTGAATAGGCATGGCTTGTAGGATGTAATTACAAAACAAAATTTTATTGCTTCTCATTCTACAATCCAGATCCTCCAAGTTAACATTTCTCAGAGTTTTTCAGTGTATGATCTTTGTATTGTTATTAGTTCAGATTAGGAAAAAAGAACAGAATAGTTTTTTGTCAAGTCAGACATAAATTCAAGAGACAAGGACAGATTTTCATCGGTAGTAACTATGGCAAAATAGCCCAACCTAAAGATTGGGAGGTAATGTGATTTGCACAGGAGGACCCATCTTAAAGAGAAAATGAGGGAGAAACCAAGTCAGGGCTTGGCAGACTCAGAGAGGTTGGTGGGTATTGGTTATAATAGGCTGTGTCTGGTAATTATCAAAGTCAGAAAACTAGAACAGAGACTGAACAACATGGGTATTGTCCATCTGGTGACAGAAACAGGCAGTAAAAACTTTTGACAGTCTTGAACTTCCTTGGGAAGGTACATACTTGTAATGCCAAA